ATTTTTCTCTAACTTGTTTGTTCGCCTTATAAACATTTCTGGGTGCCTCACATGGATACAAAATGAATTTTGCCAGAAGGACTGTTAGGGTCCCTTGCAAGTGGGACTTTCTTGCCCTTCTTGCAAAGGTGCAAAGTAAGCATTGCCCTGTTAAGACAGTTTGTGGATTTTCCTTGATATACAGCAAGTCATATTCATCTTCTCACTATATTAACCCTTCTCCATTCCTATGTAAGGGAGTGATTCAAATGTCCTTGACACAGCATTGTAATCCAACCTTACTCTTGCTACTGTTCAACAACACAATGAAAAAAATTTAGATTATATACCTTTGAAAAATAGTAAAATCAACATATTAAGGGATAAGAGTGAGATGAGACTAATCTAAAAGTTCTAAAGATCATCTCACAAAATATTATTAAACCCAAAGATATGTTAGAAACAAGGATTTTATCATCAGCTGGTAAAGATTATTTTGTTAGAGGTCTCCCTTTTTACACAAATGCCACTGACTGGGACTTCTGTTCTATACAAATGCCCCTTATTGTACATTAATCTCCTAAAACCAAATAATGCCTGTGAACAAGTATACACAACACCTACTAAAACTTAGGAGAGTTGGATCTGCACTCCATGTCAGGACCCATCCTAAGTGTACAATTCAAAACTCCTGGAAAAGTAATCTTTTTATTATTGTTGTTGTTATGATTACAGCATATTACAAATTTCCTTTTGGTCAGATCATTCTGTGCACTTTGCATCTCCAGAAAAAATGAAATATGTATCAAACAACATACAACTGAGAAGGGAATTGGTGGGGGGAGCTTTTAGAATAATGAGAAATAATTTTAAATAGGTAAACAAGGTCTTTAATAATCTGAATGATGTGGCGGCTGGACAAACATCTCCTAGCCTTTTAAATTAGAACATAATTCCAGTGGGGCCACCTAAATGACTGTGCCTTATATTTATAGTAATACTCTTATCATCTCCCCCTGCTAAGTAAGACTCTAAGCCACCCTGGACTGACCCTATCAGAGCACTTACCTCATAATTTTAGTATTACCTTTTTAATAGATAGGATTAATACAGGTATTATGCCTGTTATACAGCTTTAACTCCTGCACTCAGCAGAATGCTTGAAACTATTCTTAACAAATATTTGCTTAATTATAATTAATCATTTAAATAAGTTACCAACATTTAAGCATAAGGCTGAAATCAAAGTTGTGCCACCATACTAGTGCATTCTGTAGTTCAAAATTATCCTAATATACATGTGGTTGTCTGTTTTTATTGTTTGTGATACGATATCATGAAAAGTCATGGTAATACACCCTGTAATAATGTGAATTGTGATTTTATGTAGTTGGTGATTGGCTCCTCCCCTCAGCTAGATCAAGATTAGAATTCCTTTATCTTAACAATCATGTACTTTTTTGATGATAGCCTTACACAAAGATGCTGCTGTTTTCACTGCTACTGCCACCACGTTTAACTAAATGAAATTGGTAAAGAGCCAAAAACTTTGTTTATCATTTTGTGTAATGATAAATATAGTAATTATCCTGATTTGAGCATCACATATTGCACACAGGGATTGATATTCAATGCTTTACCCCACAAATCTGTGCAATCAATTATGTTTTAATAAAAAATTAAAAAATTTTTAAAAACCTAAATGTATCATCTGAATTGACTAGATATTTCCAAGATATTCAGTTTTTTGTCTTTTTTCTAGAATATTCAACAATACTAAATACTGATTACATTCAATAGATTATACTAGTATTGTAATAAGAAGCATCTACCCCCAATAGGTAGCTTTGGCTGAGAAGAAGATAAAAGAGGTTTTCATCACCTTTTTCTCAAAGCCCTACATCTTGGTCTGCCTTGAGATTTTTCTTACTGTTTTTTCCAGGTAATTTTAGGAAAATAATTTGAATATTCTATTTGTTGCCAAATTCTGCATTTTCAAGCTCAGATGCCACTAGAATGGGGCAACACAGATAGAGCTATAGAAAGAACAACATCCTTGGAGAAGGTCAGTACAGTTTTATAGTGGAGTGAGATAAGGCTTAACATACTTAAATAAATTTAAGTAATTTTAGAACAGAAGAGGATTTAAGATCATTTAGTCCAATGTTAATCAAATCTAGAGGTGTATCAGAATCACCCAATAAGCATGTTAGAAAGTGCAGAATCCTAGGTCACCTACACAGAGATTCTACTTCAGTATGTCTAGATGAAGTCCTAGAATCTATGTCTGTCTTTTTAACAAGTACCCTACATGATTTTGATGCATAGCCAGGCATTTTGGAAACACCTATCTAGTACACTGCCCTGTAGACAGGAATTATGTTTCATTTGTCTCTGCATTCCTAGCTAGATCAGCAAAGTGTCAGGCGCATAGCAGGCGCAAAATAAATGTTTGCAAGAGATGTGGCAGAAAGTGGGGACAAAGAGAAGTTCAGTGACTTATGGAATGTCCCAAATTAAGAAGCATTAGAACCCAGTTTTTATTTGCCCCAGCAATGGAGGAACAAGGGCTTCAGGATCCTCTCTTTTCCAAAGGTCTCTCAGATCAAGTATAGTAAATCAAATCATCCAAAATTGTCAGTCTCTTAAGATTATGTTATGGACATACAGGAGTATATGATCAACAATATGCTGTAGACACAATTCCCATCTCATCTGGTAAATTTTAATTAAATAATTTCTCTGATCATAATTTTCTTAGGTGTTATAAAGATACTTCCTGACCCTTTTCTGCTTCGGTGCATTAGTATGTGGGTTTATTAAATAGTTTAGAAGCACATTGTGTAATAAGTTCCTTGAAGCCAGGAAACAAAATATCACAGTCATCATTATTGCTTTTACTTCTTACATCCACTTCCTATAAAAAGTTTGTGGCCATTTATCAAAACTTCAGGTATTGAATGATTGCTACACGGTCTTTTTAATCTGTTGTACTAGAATTCAATTACATTTTCAAATAAGTTTTCAGTCTAGGAGAGTGTAGTGCATGGTATTCTCTATTTATTGCATCAACATTTCAAAACATGGCTACAAACTTTCAAGAAGGAGGAGGAGGAGAGAGGGAGGGAAAAGGAAGGGAAAGAGGAGGAATAATAAGAATTCTTGAGTTGCAAACTCTTCACCTTGGTTTGTGTTATCTCCCCACGTGATATCTTCACTGACCCACGCTGGTCTCATGTATAAGCGCATTTAGAAAGTTGTGATGAATTTGCCCAAGAGTTCATAGGTTAGAACAATACCACTCATCTCACAGGATTTTTAATTTCTCAGAAAATATCGTGAATTACTGTCATCAGTTCTTAAGGATAAGTTTTGCAAGAAGACTATTGTCACTGTAAATGAATGTGTTACAAGTCATTTGATAACTTTTTCCATTCTCTTCATCAGTATGAATGGCACTGATGAGCCCTTTTAACCAGGTTGATAGTGCCACGATCATCTTGTACTAATGGGCTATTCATGGGCAGTGGGCTAAGTGGACTTAAATAGCTGTGCGTTGCTGCAGAAACCAGTGTGAGAATATCCAGCCTGAAACGATTTAACTATTAAGCATATAAAGGATAACAATGGCTTGCTATAGCAACCATAGCATACCTCATAAGTATACAGACTATGAAAATACCTTTTGTTTAACTTGTATGCTTGAATTACTAGTCATAGGTGTGGAATTGGGAACAGAGTTGGGAGTTGCAGGTTTAATACATAACCTCACTTGCCTAAAGTAGTCTATTTTTTACATTGTTCCTTTTGTTGTTAAATGTAAACTTTGTGAATCAGTTTTCCCTTTGAATTTCTTAGGTAAAAATCAATCTAAGGCAGTGATTAGGAAATACAGAGAAAATTTAGGGTAACTGGCTTGAGCTGAAGCTCAAAGCCTGAAGTAAGCTAGAAATTGAGGAAATGCTACAGGTGATAACTGTGAGATGAAATTAGAAGGGGATGATTGATGGAAAGGCTAGCTTACTTCTCAGGTTAATAACCAACTCTGCACTGGCCTATGAACAACTTTCCATTAAACGGTTTGATTCAGATCAGGCTTGCTTTCCATGGCTCATATATATTAAGGCAGTGATTAGGAAATACAGAGAAAATTTAGGGTAACTGGCTTGAGCTGAAGCTCAAAGGCAGAAGTAGGCTAGAAATTGAGGAAATGCTACAGGTGATAACTGTGAGATGAAATTAGAAGGGGATGATTGATGGAAAGGCTAGCTTACTTCTAAGGTTAATAACCAACTCTGCACTGGCCTATGAACAACTTTCCATTAAACAGTTTGATTCAGATCAGGCTTGCTTTCCATGGCTCATATATATTTAGACTCTCCACCTCTAAACATGAATATCATCATGTGTGTTCTCTAATTGGTCTGTGTGTACTTCAAATGAGTATTTCCTTTTTAACTCATTAGCAGGCTGAAAGGTTGATAATTTATTTTTACAGTTTTAAACTTTCTTAAATATGCAACACGAGATTCAGTAAATGCTCAATCTATCACATACAAAATGAAATAGATTATGAAGTAAAAAAGTTCTAAGAGGGTTTTCTTTTTTCACCATCACTCCTTAGCCCTGACTGCACTCTAGCTAGTCTGTTGCTACACGTGTAACACATTATTCCCCCTTTTTTGTCCACCTGTTTATTTCCATCTTTTAGTCTGCAGTCTTCTTGAGGGCAGGGACTATGTTTTATTTATTGTTGTATTCTCCATAGCCGGTGTAGTACCTGACATAGGAGCTACTCAGTAACTATTATGTTCTATATGTAGGCATATCAAAGTTGCATCAGATATGTATTTGGGGGAGTTGTGTTTGCTTGAGTTAAGAAAAAAGTTGAATCTACCTTTGTCTTCATTGACTGAAAGAGATCTGAACTTATCATAACCCTGCAGCAAACATTTGTCATGTTCTTGGCATTTTACTCAAATTAATGTTTAAAAATACTATTTTCTTTTCCTTTATTGTAGAACTGAACAATGCCACAAAAACATTCTTTACTAAAGAATATTTAAAAATAAAGCAAAGCTTTCAGAAATCCAGCTCTGCAAAATGGCCCCTACCAAACTGCAGAAAAGCATTTCATCTTTTTGGAGGTAAGAAAACTAATACAAAAAAAAAAAAAATTCTGGTAACTTTGTCCAAGCTTTTTTTTAAAAGCTCATTTTTTTTTTTGCTTGAACTTCTACAATGCTAGTGGGAAAAATAAATAAATAAAATAAAAAACAAACAAAAGAAATGCTAACAGAAACATATTCTGTATTAATTAACTTTAAGTAAGGATTTTGCTAAGTATCTCTTTGCTGAAAGCTATGGGTGTACAAGTGTACTTCAAAAAGTTCATGGAGGGCCGAGCCTGTGGCGCACTCGAGAGAGTGCAGCACTGGGAGCATGGCAGCGCTCCCGCTGCGGGCTCGGATCCTATAGAGGGATGGCCGGTGCGATGCGCTCACTGGCTGAGCGCGGTGAGGCTGGTCACAAAAAGGATAAAAAAAAAAAAAAAGTTCATGGAAAGATTCATATTATTTTTTAAGTCTGTTTTTCCATGAACTTTTTGAAGTATCTTCCTACATGTGAAGAAAATGAAGACTATGCAGTAAGACCAAATATGAGAGAAACCCATGACTAAGTTGACTTTGCTTTGCCATCAATAATGTTTAACATGTGAATAGATAATGAAAATGCATCTCAAAAGTGTCAGATCTGATAAAAACTGTATTTGACAAAAGCACTAATACTCTTCTTAAAGATTCTTTTATTATTATTATTTAAGACAAGTAGAAAGTGACAGAACCTTGCTGTAGAGGATGGATCAGAGGTGTACATGATCTGGAAATACCAGCTTCTGGGTTCAGGTCTACGTATCTGTATGACTTCAGGGATGTCATAGAATCCTCTTCTGTTTCCATTTTCTGATCTATAAAATGGGGATAATTATTTCTGTTCCACCTAATTAGTACAGTTGTTGTAAAGATCAAATGAGCTAATGTGAAAGCACATTCTCATTTATAACTAATTGCACTGTATAGATATAAGGAATTATCAAAATAAGGGCAAGGCAATTTCAAATACCTTTTTCAGGTTTGAGAATTTGTTACTGTATATACAATATGGGCATAAAATATAATTTCATCTTCTATAAAAATATGTTCATCAGAGCATGAACTACTGTGCAGTTTTAGTATTTACCACTTATGATGTTATGGGGCCTTGTAGGAAAAGTTCAGATATGAGGAACTGTGGTCTTCAGGGAACAGGAGGAACTTCTACATAAGAACAGCAACAAGATCAATATAACAATGACACAAACCAAAAGGAGATAGAAGCAGGACCTGTACGGTTGAGGCAAAAAATAGATACATGAAATCTCTTAAGTTTGAAAGAAGTAGTTTAAGGACCAATATAACTTTATATCATGGTTTAAATGAAGAAAATAATTAAAGGACATTATATAAGCACATACTACTTTATGAAGTGGTTAGAAACTGTAAAATGTTATTATCTAGAGATTTGATTTAAATAGGTTTGAAATATATTACATTTAGCCCAAAATGAAATTAAATATAAGAAAGTCAGTCTTACTTAAAGAATTTCATGTCAAAGAAAGTTTGTAATTTACCCCCCCTCATGGCACCATCTGGGGGAGGGGGGATTTGGGAGGGTAGTTATATGCAGAGTTTTGACTGCACAGGGGTCAGTGCCCCTAATCCCTGAATTGTTCAAATTCCCGCCGAGGGTTCGGATCCCACATACAGACCGGTTCCCGCTCACTGGCTGAGCGAGGGGCGGGCGCAGCACGGAGGGTTGCGATCCCGTTGCCGGTCCCGGTCCGGTACGGGCACGACACTGAGGGTTGCGGTCCGTTGCCGGACACGAAAAAAGACAAAAAATATATATATATATTCTTCCCTTGTATCCTACCCTTCACCTTATACTCATTTTTAAAAGAATGAAGCATCTTTCTTTTACAATAACCCTACACTTTCCTTTGCCTTTTTGTATTCCAATGTAGCACTGAAACTATCATTTAAATAGTTGCCTCCTTGTAATTTCATCTTATTTGTCTTCCCCATAGGAATTTCACATAATTTTTTAAATATATTCTTATGGAGGATGTTCAAAGTAGCATTTTTTATCACCCAACTTAAAAATATATATTACTATCAGGAGCTCAGCTGAGCTGGACAAGAGCTGAGCTGTTAGGTGTCCAGAGCAGGCAATTAAAGCAGCAAGCCAAAAATGAAAGAGTTAAGCCTTAACCACTTCCTGCAATGTTAGCAAGAATCTAAAACCAGAAGAGATGCTAACTCTCCCCTGTTCCACTGCCCTCGTGGTATGGTGCACTTGTCCAGAGCCAGGTGGAGCAGCACAGTCATGGAGGTTGCCTCACCATTAAGGGAGCCCCAGACAAAAAGCTCCATCAGTAATGTGGACTTTGGGGCCAGGAAGTGTGACAAGGGGGGGAAGGCTGGGAGTGGGGAAATACTTGGTACTGACTTAGAGTGGGGAAAAAGTATCATGGAGGTTTTTTTCCTCCCACCCTTGTAAGGAGGCCTTTTACCCAAGGCCTCAGATAAAGA